CTGAATGTAAAGTTAAATTCCTTTTCTTTTCTTTCTCTTTTCAGGGGGAGGGGCCAGTAAAGGTGCTTACTGGTTAGGATACGATAAAATGTAGTTAGTCTTTCTATCCAATGTCAATCAAACTTATTCATCAATTCTTTCTGCTAAAGGCATGGACCATTGGTTTCTACATGCAGATAACTATTATTATATACGGTTTGTCAAGACTTACAGCTCTCAACTGTTGCACAGACTTGCAGAGAGCCTTCTTGGGCACACAAAGTACTATGGCATAGTAATCAGCTGAGACCTTCCCCTCATGCTTGCAAAAAACTGGACTTACAGTGGGTCCCTGCACATACAATCAGGAAACAAACTCAACATTGTATTGTGCAAGCAAAGGATTAAAAGAAACCTATGTAAGCAAACCTTCAATTTGATTGGTAATTTCTTGGTCCAGAAAGTGATAAGTTAGAGTAGCATTATTTTAAACCTGACCTGCAAACCAGATAGTGATGGCTGGCTCAGTACTCGCTCAGCTACTTCCTCTGCGCTACTACCCCTCATATTTGCAGTAACCTACCATGACAGATGAGAATGAGAGAGAACAAAACAGAAGGAAAAAAGAAAACAAACAAAAAAGGATAAGAAAACTGAGCTCTGTACCGTGAACTGACCAACTGCCCTCAGATGAGCCTCCAATCTTTCAAGAATCTCATGGGTGGTCTCTATTGCACCCTTCCGCTGGATCAAGGATTTCCTGCTTGCCACAAGAACAGCCTGAACGGCAACCAATGTTTGAGTTAAGCTAAGAGAGAATTCAGTAAAGGCAGACAGTAGAACTAGCTGCCTAGATTTTTTTTTTTTTTTTTTCCTAACAAAAGAAACTTCAGACGAGAAATTGACTTTCAGCTTACCTGGCTTTCCAACACAACTCCACCTTGAATTTCTTTCAAATTGTTTTCACGTAAAGTAGTCCCACTACTCACAAGGTCCAAAATTGCATCAGCTATCCCCATCTAAATTAACAAGGCAGACAAGGAGGCAATGATATTCATCATAAGAGTTTTAAATAAGGTATTGCAAGAATAGAGCATAGGAGAGAACAACTCTCTTTGTATAATTGCAAAGAGTATATAATAAGAACTAAAACACAAACACAAGGATATGAAATTCTCACCGCAGGAGCAGCCTCTAAGGCTCCATCAGCAGTTGAAAAGGTCACATGTTTCAATCCATTTTCTCTCATAAATTTAGGACCAAGCTGGAAAGAAAGACATAATGGATCATTCAAATGCAAATACTCAACCATAAGCTGAAACAGATTGACATCACTGGAAAATACAAAACACATCATACGTAAGTAAAGCCAGTAGCAACTCTCAGAGGTTTCTCAACAGTCCATTGCGGCATTTCAACTAGCTCCTTGAGTGAATTGATATTCTCAAAGATCCCATATTTGGGAATCTGGAATGAAGAACAGAAATAGCCAAAATAACATCAGCATCTGGCAATGAGAAGTGCAGTTGGCTGTAGGAATGGAACAAAGGTACTTACTGCAAGGGACAAACGGCAATCTCCATAGTCAAGAGCATCATGAACAAGTATAAGATCTTCATTCCCCTGACAAAGTTATTGGGAAAAAACATATAAATGACAAGCCCCAGAATGACTTGGGAAAGATGTTCTTGAATAACAGGATTGATTATTCTAGATTAGAAGCCAATAAGAGTTTTATCTTCAATCCATTCAACAAGGGAGAGTTGCTTATACTTGCATGGGGGATGATTAGAAACAGAAAGCGTGTTATAAGAAGGTTCAAAACTACCAGAGATGACAATTTATCAATTAAACATTAAACCAAGACAACACTTTTATGGACTAAACATAAGGTCAGTTCAACAGAATGACAACTGGAAAATTGATCGCTGGGGTATACAAACAGTCCAACATGTTAAAGAAATACATGAGAGTAATTTTGGCTTGATATTGAAACTAAAATCAACATATCTATAATGGAACCAAATGAGAAAGTGAAAAAGTTTTGCAACAAGTCCTTAATTCCTGAATGATGGTCTAATTGC